GTTTCCAGATGGATATGCGGAGTAAATCCATCTGGCGGAGTCAGGTTAGCAGATGGCAGCCTTTAGGGCTGAATTTGGACACTGGTTTTAGAGAGTTGCATGATAATCCACAAGTGTGAGAGACTCTGGGCAGATAATATTTGTAGTTTATAAATGAAATGAAGGCGTTAGTTGTTGGTTGTTCTCATGTAGCCACATTTTTCAGTAGGGCGAGTTCTTAAATCAGTGCTGTGCTTTCTTTGTGGTCATAGATTCAACCTTAAAACTCTATCCTATAATGAAGTGTGAGGAGAATCAAGGACTCCTGTTTTTGGATTTTTTTTCGGCTTGTTAAGCATGTCCAAAGTAGGTCACATCAAGCCTTGCAACTAGTTGAAGTGCCGTAGCTATTTGCCTACTCAGTAGGTGTATTTAGTCTTTCAACCATATAAATGTTCTCCATTCTGTGTTTGTCTTTTCTTTTCAAACTAGCTGTAAATTTTTGAGCACTATTTTTAGTTTTCTGTAGTGCACTGAACTGTCCCTTGTCATACGTGTGTTGGGATTCCAGTCACATCAAGCACCAGTGTCAATTTTAAACCCTGCATTATTGTCCGTTTTTATTTTTGTCATCCAAGGACTGTCTGCAGAATCACTTGGCACTGATTCTTACAATGCAATCTCATCTGAAGACGAGTCCTCTGTGTCTGCTGCCACATGTACTCCATGCACTTTCTTTGATTTTGCACAGACTAGCAAAATGTCCTTTCTTTTTGCAGTTATTGCATATGCCTTCTCTTGCTGGACATTGGTGAAAAGCGTGACCTTTTGCGTCTTCTCCGCACCATCTTCCGGGTTAGGCTTTTTAGGCCGCCATTTGTTCTGTTTGACTCCGAGTCCCCCTTGTGTCTTTGACTGCACACTATCGAGCTGCATGCTCTGCCTGGAAATTCATTTTTTAATAGCTCTTGCTGCCTCTTATTGGGTTTGTGTTTGTAAGGTTTTGAAAAAAGTTCAAAAAAAAGTTTAGCTGGAATTTTTTTAACCTTTACTTCTTTTTTTTATTTAATATTTAATAAAAAAGGGGATTTATAATCTGCAAAAGTTGAAAACAAATACATAATTCCTCCGTTCACACACATAATTTAAAGTCGTTACTATGAAATGTTGCCATTTTGTTCTGACTGATCTCTGTTGTCTATAAATAAGAATTAAATATTTTCTTTGACCGTTACACCGCCTTCTGTTAGATGAAGTCCAGCAGAGTTAATTAAAATGAATGCAGGATCAAAGCATGTTATCAGCCCTTTATTAGCCGATGCTATTATAATCGCCTTGTTAATTCGAGCATCACGTCTTGCTTCTCGCCTTGACATGGATTAAGGTGTCAAAAGGTCACCTTCCAGAACAGCCAACTGTGAAATTGAATCATTATGCAGGTGAAAGATGAGCTCTCTGGTCATTTTTAATGAGGCTTGGAGGCGTTTATTGCAGCTCGTTTTGCAGCTCTCGGGTCTCTCACCTTTCCTCTTTTATTTTCCTGCAAACAGCATGAAGACAGAAGGAACACATCCCGGCTGCACGGCCACGTGTGCATATTTACAGCTGGCTAAATGACCCTCTCACACAGAAACCTAAACCTTCATTAAATCTTTAAGTCGTCTGCAGTTCTCCTGCGTGGTTCTCGGATAACAGGACAAGTGAGAGTGTTTCAAGGACTCCTTTAGATGGGAAACCACGGCCATTACACCTGGCTGAGTACAGCAGAACCTCTGAATGTTGCTTCCTTTAGGAAGGCCGACACCAGATGTTCTGAGAATCATCCTCTTCCATAAAGAGTACATAAATGTTTTACCTCTTCAGGTAACAAAGAAAATTCCCAGCAACACCTGTTGTCGCCTGCAGCTGTCGCCATGGCGACAGGACCGTTAGATACCTGAGTTGGGTGCTGGCGGGGAGCCGAGGCTGAGCAGACGGACGGTGCAGAGAGGAGGAGAGGCTGCTTTCTTTGGTTTCTCCACCATGCCGAGAAGAGGCGCCGCTGCAGAGGAAGGTGAGCTGCACATTTGAACCTGAGCTCACCGATCCAGAATGCAGGAATATTTCAGGAATGGGCATTATATTAACTTAGAACTTTATTTATTAAATATAATCTAAGTTTGCTAAATTGTAACAGAAAGTTTCATCACTGCTGTTTATTGTTGTTTTTGTCTGTAATGGTTTCCAGCATCTCCTCTGCTCACTGCCAGAAGTTGAATGTTGGTGTTCTTTATGACAGAAATGTTGCCCTTAGCTTCTTTTTTTTGTGTGACTTTGAATAAAAGTCCAGTCAGTATCTCTAGGAGGCTTTTTGCTCTGTGGAGGTTTGGATCATTCACTTTTTACAACACAAAACTGCAAAATCATGACAATTGGTCCATATTTTTAAGAGTTTTG